TTTTTTTAAATGTTTGAAGTTATTAATTATTGCTATTTATAATATTTTTATGTAACTTTGAAATAATGTACATTACTGGTCACTTTGTCCTAATTTATGTGATATGGATAAAATTACAAAATTAACTCTTTTAAAATGTCTTTCAGATATTTTAAGTTGTTAATTATTATTATTTATAATACTTTTTTGGTAAAATTAAAATGAGATGTGTTATTTTTTATGTCCCAATATATGTGAGCCTCATAGAATTATGAGATTCAACCTATTTTATTATATAGCTTTTAAATATTTTAAATTGGTAATTATTGTAACCTGTACTTTCTTTGACGTTATTTAAGGCATAATAAGACTACCCACATACAACATTTTTGAAATATTTTATGTTGTCAATTATCATGATTTATAGTATTTTTACGATAGATTCACTTCAAGAATCAGTGGAATTTTTTGTATTTTTTTTTCAAAACATATTTTATGTTGTCATTTATTATGATTTATAGTATTTTTACGCAATTTTTAAATATAAAAATAAATAAAAATAAGACAAATAAATTAAAATGGACCCAATATATGTTATTTTTGTTGTCTCAATTTATGTGACACAAATGAAATTTGGAGAGTCATCCAAATTTTCATATTTTTTTTAAAAATGTTTTAAGTTATTAATTATTGTGATTTATAATATTTTTATGTAACTTTGAAATAATGTACATTACTGGTCACTTTGTCCTAATTTATGTGATATGGATAAAATTACAAAATTAACCCTTTTAAAATGTCTTTTAGATATTTTAAGTTGTTAATTATTATTATTTATAATACTTTTTTGGTAATTTTAAAATGAGATGTGTTATTTTTTCTGTCCCAATAAATGTGAGCCTGATAGAATTATGAGATTCAACCTATTTTATTATATAGCTTTTAAATATTTTAAAGCTTTTTAAGTCATTTGTAAATGATATATGTTGCTTCCTTGATTGGGACTTTTCCATTTGTGAGATATATATATATATATTCTATATTATTTTAAAAGGGAGTTTATGCCCAAGTTCTACTATATAATAAATATAATATATAATATTCAAGAAACTTCCTTTTAAAAGTCCCACAACTTGAATATTATATATTATATTTGGGCCTAAACTCTCTTTTTTCATATAGTAGAATTTTACATACATACCCTATTGTTTTTTGCATTTTACAATTGTTGTTTTAGTGTTGTTGCTCTCTTTTTAAAGTCGTTGGCCTGGTGGGGTTCCACCCATCAGTGCAAACTATGAACTGTGTTTTTCGAGATTGTTATAGTTGCTACTGCATTCAAGTTTGCTATTTAACCAGAAAGAAAACTAGTTTGTTTTAGTAATAACATATTTGAATTTGCTTCTGCTTGTATTTTGTGCAGACTTTTATGCATCAAGAGGATGTATATAGGAACAGATAAAAATAAGAGGAAGCAAAACAAAATTAGAGGAACATTTTTTAATCGATTAAATCAAACCATTAAGAATTAAAAATCAATAACAAATATCATATTGGTTTAGTTATTAATTTGTCCCGATATACACAATCTAACCGAACCAACCAATACTTACGCAACTGTTGAGCTACAATTTTTTGTCAAGATAGAGAAGGGAAAACTTTCATATTGCTTTACAGTTCTCAGTTTATCCTTTCTTCTTTTTGTAACTTTATAAGTAGTTTCTGCTGCCACTTATCTACTGCTTAATTGATTTAGTTTAATGTGTTTCATATCACTACAATCCTAAGTCATACTGAACAAACACCACACTCATGGTCAATCCTGATGTGTTCAAATTAGGACTTCATCAGAAAATAAACTAAGATAGCATACCAATAAATACCAGTGTATATAAATACTATTAACAAAAGCCATCCAAATTTCTGTTGTCTACATAGTGAAATCAGAAGGAATAAATGAATATATATAGATATGTAGAAGACAATGAATCTTGAATCAATTACTCTGTTGATGGGACCTGAAATTCTATAAACAAGCAATATAATAGGATCAAATCTCCACAAACTGTTACCTCCAATAATCACTTACTGCTGCTGCCTTGGATTCCTACCTTCTGAAAGCAATATGCTGAAGAAATCAAAGACCCAAACTTATACTATACAAGAAAATAATCATTCTTTAAATATGCCCAAAGGCATCCATACCCTTGGCTTGAGGATCTTCTTGGTCAATCTGAAGCATATTACGGAACAACGCGTCACGATTGATCTTTAACAAAGAAGCTGCTTCCCTTGATCAAGCCTTCCAATTAATCACAGTTTCTTAGGCAAGTTGTAAGTCTTTTTAAGGAACTTGGAAGCAGCGTCATCATTTCGGTAGCACAAGACGCGTAACAGGGTGTTTGGTTCAGTTGGATTCCATTGCCCTGAGGTAGGGGGCAAGGGAAGCCTAGATTTTGCAGATGAACCATAAGTTTCCAAAGTTGATCGCCTGAATCTCTCAATGAGGCTCTCTGCATCAGTCCGGAAAAGAGGGAGTACATCCCTTACTGTTGTTGAAGATTTGTTTATTATATCCACAGGCAATCCATCCCCATTTGCCCAGAAAACATCTTTCAGGGACTTGAAATCATCCTCTATAATTTGTGAATCCTGCTGCGTGAAAATTCTAGAAGGTCCTCCAGCAAGCAACACCACCAGGAAACCATCAAAGGATGCTTTCATTATGTCTGCAATAATTCGAGTCCGAACTCTTTCATTAACAGTGTTTGATATGATCGTCAGATTCTTCTCAAGTTCTTGAAGGAAAGGCTCAATGCGAGAAGAAGATGGCTCCCCAATATACAGTCCATCCCATAAAACTGGACTTAGATCATGAAAGACAATCCTATAGCCGACTGCCTCGGAGAGCTGTTGGATCCCCTCAATACAAGCAGCAGGTGAGATTTCAAACTTCTTTCCTAACCCATTTGAGAAGTCTTCTACATGAGCTGATTCAGAATTCCTCAAAAGGGTAATAATTCTCTTCTCAAGAACTTCTAGCTCTGTCCGAATTCTGTGGAAAGTATTTATACGTACACACAACTGCAGCACCCCAGATGAGTTATCACTGTTCATCGTAGCAACCTGTGGGTTCCTCTTTGTATTAAGTGTCTTATCCTTCTTCTTCCACAACTTTGTAGCAGTCGTACACCTGGTTAGTGCAGGCATGGTTGGAACATATGTGTTCCTTGATCCTACAAATGACACCACACATTAATGGGCATGCTAGGCTATAAAACTGTTTGTCCTATTCACAATAAGATTTAGACATTACCACAGCCAGATTTTGCCTTTGATACGTAATATTGAAGACATCTATCGAGGCCACTCATTAAGTCGGGGAGCAATGCTGGATGCATTGGTATTGGCAGCAGGAAGAATGCGTCTAAAGTTTCATCAATAATCCTAAGGACTTCAACAGCAGAGGGGGCAAATCCTCCTTCATTAGCTTGAGGATTCCAGACCTTTTTAATCATGAAAACAAGATAAGAATGCAACACCAAATATATAAAATAAGCACAGTTGAAAGCAAGAATCTAAGTCATGTTTGGAATATAGGCGATGCCAATTAGTTGGAAATTTATCTTAGTCATGTTAATATGTTTACTTGAGATCCTACACTTTCTAGGAGTCTTTTAGCCCTATAAGAGATTCTTGTGCCAAAAGGAAATATAGAAAACCTCTACTACTGCTCATGTTTATTTTTATATTATAAAATGTTGGCTGGGATGAATTTTTGGCGAGGATTCATATAGCCAACCCCAACTTGTTTGGATTGAGGCATAGTTATTGTTTGCAGTTAAAAACAAAAAATATCAGCTATTTCTACAATCTAAAGGCAGGTTATAATAAATCATCTT